GGAACGACAGACGAGGTTTTCCCATTGAGCGAAGTGTCTCGACCTATGGCAGAGGGCGCCTGCTGTTCAGCAGGGGCGTTCTTGTTACAGACCAGAGAACTGGAGAGAGGAAGCACAGTGGATTCCAGGATGCATTGTGGATGGCAAGCTAAGGACTCTCAACTTGGTTATTGCAAGAAGAGAAGAATATTCCTGGACTTCACCTCTGTGCTGGGGCTCAGAAGAGCCGGCAAGATCTAAAAGCCTTTTAGTCTCTCTGAGATGATGTCTGCCAATATGTTGTCAGGAAGCCCTTAAATAAAGCCCTTAAATAAAGAAGCCTAGATCACAGCACCCAAGATTCAGGGTTCTGTTTCTTCCAGTATCCTGCAACACAAACACTGACATATTGCTCTGGAGAGACAACGCACTAAGAAAAACAAGGAGGAGGCTGAAGAATACAGTAAACTATGGCCAAGAGAATGAAGGAAAGCCAGGCAGTGGCGGCGCACAGCTTTAATCCCAGCACATTTAGGAGGCAGAGACAGGTGGATCTCTGTGAGTTTGAGGTCAGCCTGGTCTACAGAGTGAGTTCCAGGACAGCCAGGGCTACATAGAGAAACCCTATATTAAAAGAGAGAGAGAGAGAATATGAATGAACCCCAGGAACAGATTGCCAGGAAACATAGGCTGTCCTCACTGGGATCTTCTATTTCTGAGCCTAGTCAAAAATAAGTCTTTAAGAATATATATTAAAAAGAGTAGCAAATAGTGACTAGCCCTTGGGAGAAAGAACGAGAACTGAATTAGGAAAGAAGGGCCTCTCACTTCTCACTTGGACAATTTTTTTTGGAGTCACTACAATCTTGTCTTCCACTCATTCCTGCTTTTCTCTTCATCTTCCAAACTATGATTCCTGAAATACAGCAGGTTTTACCCAAGTCTCTAGAACATTCTTTCTGTAATTTTAATTTTCTTTTCTTTATTTCTTGTTTCTTGTTTGAGACAGGATCTCTCTACATAGCCCGGCTATCCTTGAACTCACTACACAGACCAGGCTGACCTCAAATTCAGAGCGATCCTCCTGCCTCTGCTTCCCAAGCCTGGCTAAGACAGTCTTCAAAACTTACCTGTCCCATCCCTCCTTGTTTTTTTTTTTTGTTTGTTTGTTTGTTTTTCGAGACAGGGTTTCTCTGTGGCTTTGGAGCCTGTCCTGGAACTAGCTCTGTAGACCAGGCTGGTCTCGAACTCACAGAGATCTGCCTGCCTCAGCCTCCCGAGTGCTGGGATTAAAGGCGTGCGCCACCACCGCCCGGCCTTGTCCCATCCCTCCTTAACTCAAAGTTCCTAATTCCTTAGTAGCTGGTCATGAAGAAAGGAATGTGACTAAATCCACCTACATTAAAATTAAAATAGATGGAGCAAGAGAGACGGCTTGGTGGTTAATAGTTTTCTGAGGACCCATATGGCCGCTCCCAACCACTGGGGTATCCATCCCTGCAGGCACCAGGCATGCATGTGATGCATGCACACCTGCAGGCAAAAAACTCTTAAATATAAACATTTAAAAATCAAAATAGACCATTCTAACCATTCCTATATGCATATCTATACACACACCATACATTATACATGTATACAGAGATTATCTATGTTCGTTTTTATGTATATTTAAGGTAAATAAACTTAACTACAGTAATTTCACAGAGATGAGAAGGTCCCTAGAAGTCCACTACATAAAAAGTCAACTCAGACCATCATTTCCCGGGGGCTGAGGTACAAGTGGTGGTGTGTACCTTTAATCCCAGCATTAGGAAGAAGGCAGGTGAATCTCTGGGGGTTCAAGGCCAGCCTGGTCTACAAAGTGAGTTCTAGGAGCCCTGGTCTACACACCCAGTTCCAGGATAGCCAGAGTAACATAAGAGAGACCCTGTCTCGAAAACAAAAAACAAAAAACAAACAAACAAACAAAAAAAAAACAGGGATTGATTCCCCCAACCCGTCAGTTTTCATTACCACCTACTTCCAGACAATTTGGTTTGGGGGTTTTCTTTGTAACAGGTTTCACTAGGTAACTCTGGTTGACCTTGAACTCACCAGAGACCCAATGCTGAAGTCACAGGCTTGTACCTCCGTGCCCAGCCTATGGAGAACCTTTCTCAACAAGTGGTATTGGAACTGCAAGGAGCAGAGGGGGGAGCATCTACTGGGCGTGTGGGGAACAGTCAATAACAGATCGATGCTTATACGTCCAGTGTTAAGCTCGTTAGGTCAATCAAAGCGAAAACACGGAGGTTACATATTGACATTGCCAGCTGATTTCTCCCAAAGGCAGTGAAGCATGAAACAGTTAAAGATTATCTGCTCTCTACCTTATAGGTTGTGGAACGGGATCGGGCTGTCCCTCACGCCCCTCTCATCCGTGGCTCTCCGTTATTCCGCCTTGGAAATCTTTAACCTTCTTTTCTAGAAAGCTCCTGAAATGGGGTGGCGTCTCTTTCAGCAGTAACAGAATCCCTGAATGACCAAACTTTTCAGTTTCCTGAGTCTCCCAGACAGCTCACAAATTTCGTCGTTAGCAAAGAACCTTGCCAAGTCAGTTTACTTAGAACGCCCTCCCCAGGTACGAGTTGGAGGTGGGTCCATCTCCACAGCGTTCTTCACCACAACGTCCCAGAGCCCAGGCTTGTCTTGAAGATGACTTACCCAGAGCCCCCCTCGCTGGGCCTCGCTGGGCCTCGCTGGGCCTCGCTGGGCCCTCTTCCTCTTACTAATCTATCCACTGCCCCTGCCCCTGCTCTTTCCCTATAAATTCCTGCTTAGCCACACCCCATTCAGGATTAATCCCAATCCTTCTCAGTGCCAAACCCATTGTCATGGCTACAATGGTTTGAATATAGTTCTTCTTCACCTACAGCAAGTTTCATTAATTTTTTTTTCTTTAGCAGCAATTGGGAAACAAAAGAACTTGAGCTTGGAGAAATGTCATCTCTTTTAGGAATTTTTTTTTTTTTTTTTTTTTTGGTTTTTCGAGACAGGGTTTCCCTGTAGCTTTGGAGCCTGTCCTGGAACTAGCTCTGTAGACCAGGCTGGTCTTGAACTCACAGAGATCCACCTGCCTCTGCCTCCCGAGTGCTGGGATTATCTTTTAGGAATTTTTGAAAGAAAGACCTGAGGCTGAATCTGTACACTCAGGGATCTACCATGCAGAAAGCACAGCCATGGTCATTCAGTTCCAGGTGGCTGTTAACCTCCCGGCCGGCACCTGGTGCGTGACAGTGCATGCCTGGAATCCCGGCACTTTGAAAGCAGAGGCAGGAGGATTGCTGCATGTTCAAGGCCAGCTTGGTCTACATACTGAGTTCCAGGCCAGCTAGGGCTACAGAATGAGAGAGACTTTACCTCAAAAAGCAAAACTAAGGGCGAAGGATCTCATCAAGCATTTCTTCAAAACAGATACACACTTGGCCAGTAAGCATAGGAAAGACTTTTTTTCTTTTTTTCGAGACAGGGTTTCTCTGTGTAACAGCTCTGGCTGTCCTGGAGCTCTCTCCATAGATCAGGCTGGCCTCAAACTCACAGAGATCTGCCTGCCTTTGCCTCCCAAGTGCTGGGATTAAAGGCGTGCACCACTGCCTGGAATAAAAACAGTTTTAATTCCTGGTACGAAAAGCAAATTAAAACCACGAAGTGGTACGTCCAGGCAGTGTGGCACGCCTTTAAAAGCAGAGTTCAAGGCTAGCCTGGTCTCTAAGAGGTGTTCCAGGACAGGCTCCAAAGCTACCAAGAAAGTCTAACTCGAAAATAAAACAAAACAAAACAAACAAACAAACAAAAAAACACAATGAGATATCACACCCACTATGGTGGCAAAATAAATAAATAAATAAATAAACAAAAATGACAAGTGTTAATTTAAGGCAATTGCAACTCTCACACAGTGTTTGGTGGGAGTATAAAACACTGCAACAGCTTTGATTAAAGCCTAAAAGTTTCCTTAAAAAGCAACTCCACGCCTAGGTATGCATCCAGGGGTACTGAAAACACACATCCACAAATGTTGTAGCAGGGCGATGGTGGTGCACGCCTTTAATCCCAGCACTCGGAGACAGAGGCAGTCGAATCTCTGTGAGTTCGAGACCAGCCTGGTCTACAGAGCTAGTTCCAGGACAGGCTCCAAAGCCACAGAGAAACCCTGTCTCGAAAAACCAAAAAAAAAAAAAAAAAAAAAAAAAAGTTGTAGCCGCATTATATCTAATGGCTAAAAAAGTTTTTACATGCAATTTCATAACTAGTGAATGGATTGGTAGTGACCACATCCAAATATTCATTCAACTACAAGAAAGTACAGAACACACACACACTAGCTACATGAACGAGCTTTGAAAACATGAGGCTAAGTGAAGGAAGTCAGACAAAACACACACACACACACACATTAGCTGGGTGTGGCAAAAGCCTGTGATCTCACCACTTGGGAAGTTGAGGCAAGACGACCACAAATTCAGATTAGCCTGAACTATATAGCAAGACTGCTCCCCTAAGGGAAGAGCCAAAATCTTGTCTTTAAACGGAGGAGGTGGGGAACCACAAATACCGTATGATTTCATTAGCGTCCCCAAAGGGCGAATGCATAGGAACAGAAAGGCTAGTGGTTGCCAATGGTATAGCGAGGGTATGGATTGCAACTAACAGGTACAGGTACGGGGTTTCTTTTGGAGATTACAAAAATAAAAATAAAAAATCTGGATAGTGGTGGCACTTGCAAATCTAGAAAAAGCCACTTGATGTATAGGTCAACCTAAATGCCCATTTACAAAAAAGAGGACATAGGTGTAAAATACCTAATGCAAGTAACACATACAAACATGCAGGCTCTCGCCATAAATAGACCCCGAGGCTTCTCAAATTGAGACGTATTGTACTCTCTATAGCCAAGAACGGGGTGGGACGCTGCGGAGCCCCGCGGCAGGCTCCAGGGGTGAGCATAGCCGCCTCCCAGCTTCTGCATCCGAGCTCACCTTCCTCCATCCCTGGGCGCGCGCAGCCGGTCACCGTGGCCTGCGGAGCCGGGCGCGGAGCCGGAGGGCAGCGGCCAGCAGGGTTGGGCAGAGTCGGGGCGGCCTCGGGTCCCGCCGGCCTGGGCTCCAGCGCCCGGCAGGCAGCACAGCCGCCCTTCCGACACCTAGCCACGGCTCCGTCCTCGGGGCACCGAGCCCCAGCGCGGCGACGCCCCCGGAGTCAGTCCTCCCGGCCCAGCCCCGCGGACCCGCCGCTCCTCCTCGCCGCCGCTGACAGCCGCCCGACGCCCGCGGCCACTCGCGCGCCCCGCCCCGCCCTGCGCACGCGCGCAGCCCGCCGAGCCCTCCGAGCGCCGCTGATGTGGCCGCCCGGCGGCTACCCGGATCCGCGACCGCACCCCGGCGGCCACCCTCCTGCCGCCGGCTCGCCCGCCCGTCCGCCCGCTTCGGATCCCGCTGGCAGCCTTAGCTCAGGCTTCCCCGCGCATCCTCTGGGCCGCATCCCAACCCGCGCATCCTCGGCTCACCGCTTCGTCCGCCCCGGGGCCTCCTTGGGGTCCCGTTCGCGTTCCTTGCCGATCAGGATTCGACCGAAATCCAACCGAATACGTGGGAGTCGTTGCGCGATTCTCGGAGGCCAAAGGACGGGGAGGAGACGTGAGGGCAGCGTCACGCCCTCCTAGCGCCTGGCGGGGTCAGAGCCAAGTGCACGGGCGCTGCCCAGCCGAGCCTTTTGGTTTGCCCACGCTCGAGTCTGGTAGTCGAGGTAGACATGAGCCAGAATTTGCCAAGGGAAACCGGGAGCTGTTTCAATGACGGTTTGTTAGGTACCTATTATATGCGACTCCACCACCCCACCCCACCCCACAAAGGTGTGTGAGCCCAGGACACTACAGGGGAAAGCTTCTCAGTTTGATCCTGAGCCTACTATATGGCCTCAAACCAAAGCTTTCACAGGACTGGGACAGCGGTGCTTTAGCGGTTTTTTAGGTGAACACTGGCCGATTTATCCTTGTTTTTCTTCTGAGTTAACTCAGACCTTGAACTTAACTTTGACCCCTAAGGGAGCTTCTGAATGATTCTTGGCCATCTGCAGAGTCTCTCTCTCTCTCTCTCTCTCTCTCTCTCTCTCTCTCTCTCTCTCTCTCTCTCTCTCTCTCTCCCCCTCTCCCCCTCCCCCTCCCCGCTCCCCTCCCCCTCCCTCCCTCACTCTCCTACCCTCCCTCACTCAAGCTTGGGTTTGGTGGCACCCGCCTTTATCTCAGAAGCAGGTGGTTCTCAGTAAATTCAAGTTCCAGGAAAGCCAGGGTTACAGAGTGAGACCTTGTCTTAAATGGTTGCACTCGGGAGGCAGAGGCAGCCAGATCTCAGTCGAACTCACCTTTGAGGCCAGTCTGGTCTACAGAGTTCCAGGACAGGCTCCAAAGCTACACAGAGAAACCATGTCTCAACGAACAAAAAATAAAAAAATAAAAAAAAAGAAAGAAACAAAACCAAAGTCGACAAAGTCTCCTGGCAGCCCAGACTGTCCTCAGAGTGATCTTCCTGCTTCTGCCTCTCCACACTGGGATTAAAGACCACCATTCTCCAACCTGGCCTCAAACCCTTCCCGTTCCAGAATGACAGGTATGTGCCTCTGTGCCAGCTCTAGGACGCCTCCTGAGGATTTTAGAGCACTGGTTGGTGGTGGGATTTAAGGCTGGAAAACGGATTCGCTGTTAAAAGCGGGCACTGCTCTTGCAGAGGACGCAAGATCAATTCCGGGCACCCATCTCCACAGCCCCTCCCTCGACACACACCTCCAACTGCAGTTCCTCTGGACCCAAAGCCCTCTTCTGGCTTCCACAGGCATCTACACTCACAAGGGCATACCCAACTCCTATACACATATACAATAATTTAAAATGAAAATTTAAATCTTCAGAAAAATTTTAAAATACCTTCAGGAGTGGAAGCATCACTGTGAAGAATATGGGCGCTGAGTAGACATAAACAGGAAGTCATTATTTTGGTTTTCAGTTCTATGCTAAACCCCAAAATGGAGTCACTCACCACAAACTGAAGCTGTTGGTTCCACTTTCCCAGAAACAGCTGTATGAGCTGGTCATGAAGCCGCCTCGGCCTCACCCCTTAGGCACAGACAAAGGCGACCTGATGTCGACTTTTCTGTTGTTTCCCCGTCTGCCTTACAGGGCTTCTTCCTTTCTTCAGCCCCTACCCCGCTGGAGTGCTCACTCGGTTTTGTGGCCTGACACATGACCCAATTTTACACTCAGAAGCCAATCAAAACCGTCAAAGTAAATGGTTGTAGTTCTTTCCTTGGTAAAGTCAGCAATTCTCTGGCGTTTCCAGATGTCTTTGTTTTAACTACTGTCTTAAGTCAGGGTTTTATTGCTGTGAAGAGACACCATGACCGCCACAACTCTAATAAAGGAAAACATTTAAGTGAGGCTGCTTACAGTTCAGAGGTTAAATCCATTATCGCCACGGCAGGACGCAGGCGTGCAGGAAGAAATGGTGTTGAAAAAAGAGCTGAGATTTCTTCATCCAGATCACATTGGGCATGGTTTGAGCATCAGAGACCCCAAAGCCCGCCCCCAAGGACACTTGCTCCAAGAGGGCCACACCTCCTAATAGTGCCACTCCCTATGGGCCTACAGGGCCATTTTTATGAGTTACCATGGCCTAGGGAGCACAGATCCATTTCCTTAAATGACACGTTCAACTAGAAGGGGTTACATACATTTCTGTAGTCAGTAGGAACCGAAACGCACAAAGCAATGCATTTACCAATAAATGTGGACCATCAGAGCCCTGGGCTCCAGCACAGCAGGCAAACCCCTCTCAGACGTCATCTCAGAGCATTCCCAGCTGTGGAGTTAGCTGTCCAGGGGGTAGAGGTCGGCTAAGCCCTGTGGTAGAGTCTGAGACGTTTGTACACACACGTCTGTGCCATACAGATCTCATTTGAGCTAAAGCACACAGGATTTGTTCTATTTTAATTTGTGTTAACACTTGATTTCAAGTTGCATTCACCTTCTACAAATGCCATGATTTAATTTTTCTTATGGATTGAGTGTGTGGGTGGGCACATGTGCATACATGCCTCTTGACAGCCTTTTTTTCTGAGACAGGGTCTCTGAACCAACCTGAAGCTTGCTGGTCTAGCTACCGTGGTATGCTTGTTAGTTGTTGGGTGTTAGATCACCCTGACACAAACTAGGGTCATCTGAGGAGAGGGAACCTCAAGATGTCTCCATCAGGTTTGCCTCTTGGCAAAGCTGTGAGGAATTTTCCTGATTGATGGGAAGCAAATGAGAAAACAGGGTTCTTCCATGGCCTCTGCTTCAGGCCCAGTCCCCAGGTCCCAACCGTGGTTGAGTCCCTGGATTTCCTCCATGGCAGACTGTGATTGAGATCTGTCAGCCTAACAAGCCCGTTCTTCCCCAGCTGATGTGTGTTCCCCCACCCCATAGCAACAGAAAGTAAACTAAATACCTAGCTAATCGTGGGGGGTGTTGAGATCTGGTTGAAATCTGTCTGTCCTAAATGCTGCCTGAGTGTTGGGATGTTGGGAAGTTGGGAACAGACCCAAAGCACCTTGTCCAAATTGCTGCCATTTTGACTTCAGACTCCATTGTACCTGTACGGTGAAAGTTAAGGTTCCCAAGCCCTAGGGGAGTCAGGATCTTTCCAGTAGCTGACCCACCTTCTCCTTAGACCACAGAAATAGTCATTGTGCACCTTTGGTTCTCTGGAAACATCACGGCTATTCCTAACAGAAAGAACAAACCAATCTAATTGGCTGGACTGAAAAGCTTGCATTGTATGTCGATTGACAGGGAGGGAACACTTTAGGAAAGCCCCTAATCTTTGAATTCTGATGGGTGAAAAATTGTAACTGAAACTTGGCAACAAACGTTTACGATTCTTTTAAATTTATTTGTTATGTATGTAGTGTTCTGGGCACCAGATCTCATTATAGATGGGTGTGAGCCACCATGTGGTTTCTGGGAATTGAACTCAGGACCTCCGGAATAGCAGTCAGTTCTCTTAACCTCTGAGCCATCTCTCCAGCCCCATTTATGATTTTTTTTATGCTTAAATACTTGCTTCAACAGGCATTTGGAGTCACAGATCAACTCCCAATTCTGTTCTGTGACCCTGATTGATCAGTCCCTCCTCCCCGCTCCCCTTTTTGTGCTGCCCTGCATTAAACCTTGCTTTTCAGTAACCTTGTGTGTCTGCTTGGGTTGATTCAGAGCCTGGGACCCCAACAGGGACACGCTGCAATGGCTGTCTGGCTTCTATGTGGGTGCTGAGGATTTGAACATGGGTCCTTTTGCTTTCACATGCTTAGCACGATTGACCTACTGAGCCATCTCCTTAGCCCCTTGTTTTGTTGTTTTGGGGTAGCATTTCTATATGTATCATATACTAGGCTTGTCTTAAACTTGTGGCAATCCTCCTGCTTCAACTTCCAAGATACTGGGATCACAGATGAGAACTACAATGGCTGTCCCATGAAAAGTTTCATACTCAGAATGTTAGATGAGATACAGAGTTAAGATCAGTAGCTATTGGGGCTGGAGAGATGGCTCAGCAGTTAAGAGCCCTGGCTAGAACTGGGTTCAGTTCCCAGCAACCACATGGGAGCTTACAACTGTCTGTAACTCCAGTTCTAGGAGATCTGATACCTTCACACCAATTCACATAAAGTGAAATTAAAGAAAAAAAAGATAATTGGCTATTAAAAGGCTAAGACATCTCAAAATAAGTTTGACTTTTGACTTACAATGTTGGTTCTCTTTGGAATCACAGGAATTGTGACTTTCTAGCAACCAAGGCCAAGCCCTCTACAGGAATGTTACTTTGGAGATAGCTTCTTCAGAGAACTTTTGTTCACTAGGAAGTCGGAAGGACAATTTGAGTTGCTTTGGGTGTGCTGAGTTTAATGTCACTAAAGTCCAAGTGTTGAATATGTGGTTGGACGGTGAGCCTGGGACTCAAAGGCTTCATGACACTAGCTAGTGCTCTGCTGAGCTCGACTCCCAGAAGAGAGAGTCAGCCTAAGATGGAGTAATCTTTAAAGAGAGCAGATACGGGGACTTGCCTGTGAAGACGTGACTTCTAAACTTTAGAGAAGGCCTGAGCAAGGGAGCACTGAGACTCACAGAATTAGATACTGGGAAGAAACTGTTTTGTCCACCCTATGAAGATGACGTTATAA